CATGTGATGCTGTAACCCACGCTCAGAGTCATGCTATGATCCTTCCCTCCTACATGCACAGCTCGGGAACCTCAAAAGCAGCAAACTTTGCTGCCAAGGAGTAAGAAAGGGTGTTTTGCAGAAAGCCCCAAAGAAAAAAAGAACCCCTAAATAAAACTAAGAATTTTTTAAAAAGTGAGGTGCAGCCAGAGGGACTGGTATATGGAACAGACTGTGGCCAGTTCTGGGGTGGGAGGGGTGGTTCAGCCAGCCTGAGGAGGGGCTGCAGCTCCTACACTCTCCCCCACCCCCATCAGAGTCGGGAAGCCCAGGTGGGAAGCCGGGACGGAAACTCAGTGGTTCAGGGTTTCCAATCCCATAGCTCTAGGTGCTGGAGTCCTCTGCAGCATCCTGCTTTCTGGGGCAAAGCATGAGGTCGCCAGGTCTCAGCCCTCCCCTGAGATAGCTGATCACTTACTCTCACTAATGCCTGCCTCCATGGTGGAGCTGCCGCAGATCAGACCCCCGTCCCCACGTTCTGCTGAGTGGCTCCAGGAAGGCAGATGTCCCTCTCTGAGCCCCACTCTGATTAGGTGATTTCTAAAAAGAAGTCTCATCCAGTCTTAAGATTAGGTGACCAAGGAAATATTCCTTTGAAAACATACTACATTATTCTTCTAGTCAAAGAGCTTTGTCGGCAAACCTAAAAGCTATTGCCTGTGGGGTGTGTGTGACCATCTCCCAGGAAGGCAGATCATTGGCATGTTTCCTGGGTCGGCTCCCAGACAGACACGAGGGAAGAATTCCAGGCAGCCCGCTATGTTACTGTTGCTCTCTGATATGGCTCTTAAAATAGTTGTCAAGTAGAGGCTGTGACCCTTAAAGGTTTCAAGGCAAAGGGTAATGAGGCTGATGGGGTCGGATCCTGGAGGGGGGTCCTTCTGTATCCTGCTCTCTTTCTCGGGAAAGGCTGTGCCCTGGGAGGGTCTGCGAGGAGCTGTCGAGGCAGCCGGCTGTTCCTGCAGCCGGAGGAAGCCAGCTCAGAGCAGCCACAGAAAAGGGGTGCTGTCAGCTCCACCCAGCATGCAGCACAGGCAGTGTGCGCTCACGATACTGACTGACAAGCATGCAGTGGCCGGTACCCGGCTCTGTGTCGGCTCAAGCCAGGCTCAGCGTCACCTCAGTGCACGGCCAGGCCCTCCCCAAGGAAGCCCATCGCTGTCACCTACACAGCTTCTCGCCGACTCCCTCCAGACCTCCCTCCCTCTCGAGGCTGGGAGAGTGTCAGAACTGCAGAGTCCCTTCCTCTTTGTCAGCCCTGTGTATCCTGCCGTCTTGCTGACCAAGATGCGTCCTTCCTGCTGACTGTGATGTGTTTGTGAAGATCCACTGATTTCTGCTGTTTCATGACATTCTATTTCTACCAGCCCAGTGTGGCCGGAAAATGTTCCCAAATATGCATGACTGTATACAGACCCTACAAGATTTTTTTTTCTGGCCGTATGTCTTAACCACTCTCTTTCTTTGTTAGTACTGGACATTGCCCTCTTTGTAACAGTCTGCCTCCCAACCCTGGGCTGCAGAAGAAAGTTGGTGGGGCTCGGACCTGGCCGCCAGCATCTCCGGTGTGGCCGGCTTCTGACGATTAGTGAAATTAGCAATAGAGTCTCTGATGCGCCGAAGGTCTGGGGAGATATTCAGGGCCCACTTCACAGATAAGTAATCGGGGGCTCAGCAAATGGCCCAGGGCAGCAGTGGGTCAGCTCCAGAGTCCAGGCCTTCACACCCACCCCAGGCCTTTTCCACTCCCTGAGATAGTCCTAGGCTCATTCTTAGACGATACCTTGCAGAGTGTTTAGGGTGAAGTGATTGGCATTTAAATATTTATTTTCAAGTGATACGGAGGGATTCTATATCTAGATCTGTATCTACATCTATACACATATCTCAGAGAGTCTGAGAAAGATGTGAACAACCGAGATTCAGGAAGCAGGCCACTACAGGAGCAGCATCCGTGACTCCAGCCAGACCTTGCTGGCCCTCCTTGTGGAGCCCTGCTGTGGGACCAGAGCCAGCCTCTGCCCTTCTCTGAGCTCCTAGAATGAATGTGGTTGGTACGCTCGGTCAGGTGCCTACCCATGGGCCAGGGAGGGAAGGTTGCCCTGGGATATCAGCTCTGTGCTCCTGGAAAAGGGAGACTTGTAGTGAGCTTGGTCAGCCTGCCTCTCTCAGCCCCAAAGAAGGGTCTGCTCTAGTCAAAGGAAATAATTTCTAAAGGGTAATAGCAGGTGGAGGGAAGAAGGGTAGCTCCGGAGTAGACTTTTAGGACAGGCTAAGCAGAGGCATTTGAACTTTTCCCAGGTATAATGAGGGTGGGTTTTGGCAAGGGAGCACTTGACCTGCTAATGTGCTCAGCACTGGTCCTGTGACAGCTCAGAGGTTCTGCCAGGAATGCCCTGGAGGGTCTGACCTCTGCCCCACCCAACCCTTGTGTCACTGTACCCCAATTCTTTGCCAATGATGGCTGGTATGTTAACCTATGACATCAGCCCCTGCAACCAGAATGGGTTTCCATCACTTGAATGAAAAAAACAACTAATTTAGCCACCCACCTGGCGTTATCTAAGCACTTCTCACTTCCCACCTCCACGCCTTTCCTCCTGCAGCTCTCTCTGCTTGGGGCATCCTCCCTGGCAGCCACCTCCTCATGGAGGAATCGTATCTGACCTGAAGGTTTCAAATGCTGCCTCCTTCCTGGAGATTACCCTGATCTCCCCAAAGGGCTATGACGCCTCCCTAGACCACCTTCTCCCTAGCGGACGGCCCTCGTCTCGGTCTGGTGGTCTTAGGTTAATGAGCTGTTACCATCAGTCTGAACTAGAAGTTCAGGTTCTCTGTAGGCAGAACGCAGGCTTGACTCTTCTCTGAATCTGCCATCTGGGTCTCGCCAGGCCTGATCCATGGAGAATGCCCAGTGTCGTGTAATAGGACGGAGGTGCATGGAGAGAGGATGGGGCCTGGGAGGGGAAGTCAATCTGAAATTCTCACAGACTTTCTTGTAGACTTTCTCATGGCCTGGACCAGTCCTGGCGGGTGCCGGGCAGAAACACAAACATGGAACCAGGGTCCCAGGGTCCCAGGGGAGATGGGTGCTTGGCTTACATACGCTTGAATGCTCAGCTCTGTTCATGGCCCCCAAGTACCTGCCAGCTGGAGCTTGCGACCACCTGTCCACTGCAGAGAAAATGCCCGTGGGTGGGATCAGAATCAGAGCAGCTGCCCTCCCAGAAGGACAGAAGGACAATGGCCCCATCTGATTGACTCCAGCTCTGCCCTGGGCCTGGGGGCAGCCTTCTGGGAGCCCCACAGGCCAGTCACGTGGGCATCTCTGGGGCCGAATGGATGTGTTCGGGCTACGGGGGGACATTTAACAAGGCACAGAGAGTCCTGGGTGGGAGTGGCATCAGTGACCTCAGGAAGTTCTTGGCAGACAAGCCTGGGATAAGGACCCTCTGTTTTGAGAGAATGTGCTGGAAGCCCAGCAGCTAAAGACTGACATAAAGAAGTAGGGTTGCAGCCATTAGGAAGACTGCAATTCAGGAGGGAGGGGATTTGTCCCCAAACTGCCATTTGGAGAGCCAGCCTGGTCATGTGCAGCCAGGCTGAGTGCTGGACCCACTCCTGACCCAGGGTCCTGCCCCCAGGCCCTTTCCCAGGCCTTCCTGCCTTTTTCTCACTAAAGGCCCTTCCCGGAGGCCAAGGCACCATTTTCCAAAAGGCCTGCAGTACCAGGAGGCAGAGAGCGAACTGCCAGGCTTCTGAGGGAGCGGTTCCTTCAGTTCCAGGGGCAGAGCCATTTGGTTTAAAATCCCCATAAAAGCAGTAATGCTCATTTCCTATATTGGGTCATATTTCCTAATTACTGTCCCTCAGGAAAACCCCAGGAGATGGAGAGAGACGCCCGCCCCACAGCCTACGTTTGTACATTTAAATAAAGTGTGATGAAAAAGCACACCCTGAACATTTGCCTGGAACACACCTTCCTTCAGTGAACATTTCTGATGCGCACAAAATGGACTCACTTGAAAAAAAATTATTAGTTCAGCTGGAAAGTAATTGCCACTTATTTGGTTTATAAGGCGAGCGTGGCTGGTGACATCAGATTGGACTTAACTGCATCCTGTTTTGATGCTAACTAATATTTGCCCTAATACTAAGCATAAATAAGTAGGAATTTCTCCTGAGACACCACAGATATTACATCTTTAATGGGACCTAATAGTCAGAGGCAAGCCAATTGCCCTGCTGTGGGATTATAATTATACGTGCTCTTGTTTCCCCCTTTTAAATTTCACGAACAGAGAGGAGCACTCGAAGCCATTAGACTTTCTCTGGAAACATTGGAGTAAAAATAAAAGGGCCATGGGCAAAGCCCTCATCGTCCATTCTGGAAGGTGGCGGCATTCCGAATGCCCCCGCAAAGGCACTGCCTTTCCCAAGGCTTCTCTGTAAGTGGCTGATGCCACCGGAGGCTGGCAGGAGGCTGTGTGTTTGAAAAGAAGTACATCCAGCCTGAGGCTGGGAGCCTGAACTTCAGGTGGTCCCCTGCCTCCAAGACACGCTCTTGCAGCCTCCTTGGATGTCTCTGCCTTTGGCACCTGATCTATGAAGGGAAAATTCCCTCTGGTTCTGTCTGGGAATTGGGCTGTTTCTTTCTTCTCTAAGCCCCATCCTGAAGTGTTGCAGCAAAGTGGGTTACAGCTCAGTGTCACAGCTCTGTTGTGACGGCAACCTGGATCCAGGCGAAAGACCAACCAGCACTCAGAGGGTTGGAGAACTCAGGTGTATTACACCAGCAGACTCAGAGGAGTTAACACTCCAAGCTCTGGACCTGGTCTGTAGGTTTACACAGGCTTTTATAGGCTGCCAGTCTACACTATGCAACATCATATGCAAATAAGGTGTAACAGAGTTGACTAATTAAGAATGAGCTTT